GCAAAAGAACAAACTAGCACGATAAAATAAGTGAAAACAAAACAATAATGCAAAAAAAGAAACAAGCAAACCAACAATGGTGACTTTGCAGCATGTAAAGTTTTTATTGCTTCATCTGAAAGTGCTTAAAGAGCCGATTTCACTGTATTTTTTATAAATTTTTTCTGATTTGGGAAATAGTAAATAAAATAGATTTAAAAGTGAGAAAATGCACCGCCTAGTGACGTCATCTGGCAGCATTTCCCATTTAAACACATGTATTTTAGCAGATTAGATCATTTTGTCATATCTTCTCCAATAATTATTCAACTCATAAACCAAGGGTTTCCTCGTATTCATTTCACTCAGTAGTTTCCACTTAAACACGAAATTTATCAAATTTCAGACACCTGCAGATCCTCTATTCATTTCATACATAGTATTAAAACTGCATAACTGCTGTAGCATGCCGTGGTTTTTTTCACGACTTCGCAAAATACATATAATAAAAAACGAGGAAAGCTTTGGAAGATGGGAAGGTGTTGGTGTGCTTCTGACACGAGTATCTCTTGACTTTTAAGATATTTTTGGCAGTTTGATTTTAAGACTTTCCTTTCTTTTCTTTCTTTCCTTTTTTTTTGGCAATGACGCTTTTTTGTATTCGACGAAGAATATTATTTTTCTCTGAGGAGCCAGCTTAAGAAAAAAAGTTCCCTGTGCGGTGAAGAAAAAGATCTTGTGAAATACTTGATTTTTATACATTTTTACCAACAGCGACGACAGAAAATCAAAAGGATGCAACTTTTTAAACTTGATGGCTGTCCGTATCGCACCGACTGAAGTGCGAAACCACGTATCTCCATTGCGGTGTTTCAAAATTTCTATTCTTGTTTCATCTCTTCCATGAGAAACAATCCAAATTTACGATTTTAAATTTTGAACCAAATGGAGAAACGTCGTCCCTCATTTTGCCCAAAAATATGTATGTATAAAATTGAAGGCATTATGACTTTCCTCTCTCAACTTATATTCGTCTGTAACGATAAACAATGGGACGCGCTTGCTACGGCGCCTTGATACAAATATACAACCTCGACGGATGTCCTTATTGCGTTCAAAAAATTGAAGGCGTTTTGACTTCCTACGCATAATACCTGTAGTTGATTCGATCGACAAACGCGTTGGTCGGCGGCGACGGGGACTTGATGCAACTTTTTAAACTTGATGGCTGTCCGTGTCGCACCGACTGCAGTGCGAAACCACGTATCTCCATTGCGGTGTTTCAAAATTTCCGTTCTTATTTCATCTCTTCCATGAGAAACAATCCAAATTTACGATTTTAAATTTTGAACCAAATCTTCTGCTATTGAATACGAAAAATCATGGAGAATTTAAGTTTTATGTTGACCAGCTTCTCGAAAGAAAAATACAATTTCTAAGGAAGTCTGCAACGTCGCAAATGGAGAAACGTCGTCCCTCATTTTGCCCAAAAATATGTATGTATAAAATTGAAGGCATTATGACTTTCCTCTCTCAACTTATATTCGTCCGTAACGATAAACAATGGGACGCGCTTGCTACGGCGCCTTGATACAAATATACAACCTCGACGGATGTCCTTCTTGCGTTCAAAAAATTGTAGGCGTTTTGACTTCCTACGCATAATACCTGTAGTTGATTCGATCGACAAACGCGTTGGTCGGCGGCGACGGGGACTTGATGCAACTTTTTAAACTTGATGGCTGTCCGTGTCGCACCGACTGAAGTGCGAAACCACGTATCTCCATTGCGGTGTTTCAAAATTTCCGTTCTTATTTCATCTCTTCCATGAGTAATCCAAATTCACGACTTTAAATTTCGAACCAAATCTTCTGCTATCGAATAAGAAAAATCATGCTGAATTTAAGTATCATGTTGACCATGGTGTAAGTCGGCAATCACATAACTCGGAAAACGCGATTTTTCAGGGAAGGGAAAAAACTCTCTACACTCCTCATTTTTGAGACTAGAGGGGAAATAATTGTTGGAGACAGCAAGAATAAGATACTTAAAAGTCTCTTTCATCGTTTTGAATAATATTCTCATCTGTTAGGTGAAATGACCGAAAAACCGAGTTTTGTGTTTGTGGAAGTAAGGTCCAACACGGAATTCCGAGAGACGTGGTTGGCGAATTAATAATTCAAACGATTTTTTGCGGATGTTGACTGAATAAAGACTAAATAAGACTCTCCTTACTTTAAACGTAGCCTAAAGTTCCTTTTAAGAAACTTTAATTGGTAGCAAATCTTAAGAATAACACCGGAAAACAATTTGATGGCATAAGTCGGCAATCACATAGGGTAACTCGGTTTACAATCAACTCGGTTTACGACGTCGCAGACTTCCTGCCGTACTTTATTTTTTAAACTAAAACTACTCAAAGTCAATTCTTTAAAACTTCCGTGATTTGTTTTCTCTCTGCGAAGAAAATTCTGTATAAACTTCAAGGAATGATGTCAATTGGTTCTCTTTTAAAAAAAATAACGCAGAGGCGGAGATTTTCAGACACCGTGAACGAGATAATAATGTGATTGCGGACTTATGCCGTCGAATTACGAATTAAAATTGAATGAAGATAAAAATAAGCGGACGATTACTCAGTTATCCTTCGGATTAGATGTTAGATGTTAAAACAATAACACTGTTTTTGTTGTTTGAAGATTCCATGATGATGTATTAACTTTTAATTTTCCCTCCTAAACTGTTCACAATCCTTCCCGGGAGAGCGCGCGTTGTGTAGAAATGCGGCGCGACGGCACGAGTTATGTGTTATTGGAATTAACGCCGAGATATGTGTTTTGAGTTCTACGTTTTTAGGTAACTTCCAGATTTTTTTCGACTGAAATATTTTGATAGCAGGTAAAGGGCATCTACTACACTTCATTTCTGCAGCTAACTCAAAATCGCCAAAAATCGAGTTATATGATCGCCGACTGACACCGTCGAATATCGACGGTGAAACTACCAAACCACGTATCTCCGTTTGCGACGTCGCAGACTTCCTGTCATACTTTATTTTTTAAAGGAAAAACTACTTAACATCCAGTCTTGAAAATTTCTGTGATTTTTCCTCTTTGTGCGGAGAAAATTCCGTGAAAATTTCAAGGAATGATATTGATTTGGTCTACTTCAAAAAAATAAAATGTGAGCGTAGATTTTTAAACACCGCAAAGGAGATACGTGGTTTGGTAGTTTCACCGTCGATATTTATCCTTTAATCGGGGTAAAAAGCGGGCAGCAACCGTTAGTAGAAATAATGCATAGACCTAGTTTTGCGGCGATTTTAGCGTCGCGCAAGCCAGGGAAGCATTGGCGGATCCAGCAAATTGGCAACATTGTCTTTCCTCCATTTAATCTATGGAAATGTATCGATTCTTGGCGGGCCAGGTGCTCTGATAAGAATCGATTATTCAACATAGGTTAAAATGGAGAGAATCTGGTACCGCTAAATTGCTGGATCCGCCTCTGCAGGGAAGGAAGCGGTCGAGTGTCGAGTCATCCTCAGTGTGATGCGCCTTCAATCCAGCTAGCGGCAATGTGCCTATACACGTAATCGAATACTTATCGCAAATAACTCTCGCATTGCGTTTGGTGCAATGCCAGAAGTATTCATGCAGTCTTTTGGGCGCTAAGGGGCACGGGACCCGCCGCGCCGCGCCGCGCGATCGCCGGTACCTCACGTGCCCGGATCGGCCGGCGGTTCCCGCTGAATTTTGAACCGTAGGATTGGGCTTATGGAATGATTTATTGTGATTATAAATAAAGAAAAACGATTGCTTAAAAAATAAATTTAATGATGAAAAAAGCGGTAAAAATACAAAAAAAAAAAAAAAAAATGGTAGAAGAAGGAGCGAAAGAATGAAAAAAAATTAAGAAATTGGAGAAAGTGAAACAGTGGGAAAATAAAAACCAAACTTTCATAAAACTCTTAGTTCCACTAACTCAAATGGAATCTCCATGGAGATTCGTAATTGTTACTAAGTGAAGTAGCTCAGCGGTTGAGGGTGATATTCAACAGATGCGTATGATTTATTCTCATTTTTTCAGGAACAAGGAACAAGTCCTCTTTACTGATCTATGTCGAAAGAACAGAGGAACAGCCGAACCTAGAGATAAAAAAATCTCGGTGGAAAATCGTAATAAAAAGTTAGTGCGACCCTGCCAGGATTCGAACCTGGAATCTTCTGATCCGTAGTCAGACGCGTTATCCGTTGCGCCACAGGGCCCACGGATATGCTACGCTTAAATTTTACAAAATTAAGTTATGTATCAAAAATGATTTGTACATTTCAACAGAACAGAGAAATAATACGGCCTGAGAGCTTCAATTTCTTTGGCAAAAGGTTAACATCCATATCTTTTGCATTTTTAGGGTGTTTCAAAATGGCTTTGCTTTACGTAACAAGCTATGCCGTATGATGTAACCATGTGCAAGGCGGCTTTGGCAGCTTAGTGCTTACAATCTGTGCAGCTTACGGCATGGCATGGCATGGCTAGCAGTTTTTGTGATACAGACAGTAGAGAGCAGCACATTCAACCCTTTTTACCAACCTGATCATAATTTTTGCACCACTTCAACATTTTCCGCTTGAGATTTTCCAAGGGATGCTGCTTTAAAAGTATATTTAAATCATAAGTTTAAATCATTACGGAAATTTTTCATCCTCAATCTCTTTTTAAAGCCCCGTGATCCATGGTAATTGCGCGAATAGGAAAATGTAATCTTATGTCGGTTCACGCAGACTATTTTACAACAGTTGCCATTTTGTAAATTCTGGAAGATTCCACCCCGATTCCCCGAACCACCCAATAATCTCAAGTTCAACGCAAGGAGCCCCTGCCGTATCTTTTATCGCGTGTTTTTCCGTGCGGCAAGCCGTATCATTGCATCAGACTGATTGCACGTGCAGTTTTCAGTAATTTTTGTTTCTTATTTTTCGAATAAATCGGTGAAAAATGTTGTACGTCGCTCGAGTTGTTGGTCGTAAGACCCTTCATTGCTGTCTTTTTAACCCAAGTTACACCACAAGTGAAAATTTTAGCATTTATCTAAGCAAGGTAAGGGGGGCTAAGCCTATTTTTCTTACCTCATTTAATTACTTATCTCTGACCTATAACTCTGTAGAACTTCGGCCGGTAGCGCAATTGATTCCTAGGCTAGAACTCATCTCATGACCATGTGTCACTTTCATTCGCAGTCAGTTTCAGCTCCAGTGTAAGTACCTCTGGGAAACAGGATTCTTCATCGGCATGATGACCATGGTTACCTGTGCCAATTGCGGATGCTACCCGCTCGCCTTTCATGAACCTTTTTAATTGTGGAAACCCAAGTTTTCTAGTCATGCTATCAATTGCATCACACAAATCCGTGTTGCCTTGGGTCTTCCGCGATCTTGATGCTCACTTACTTTGTCGAAGTCCAATTGACCTGTTCTTGTGCTTCCCGTACCAGGCAAATTTAGATTAGAAATTCCAATTCCCTTATGAAATTGCACCTTTTGGTTGTGATAAGTGCAAGTTTCCTTCTAAATCTAAACCCAATCCTAACTTCTTATAAGTATCTAAATCTAATGATTTAGTCTGTACCCCTCTGAAGCAATTCTTCATAACCTCCAATGTGAGTATAGAGATAGTTGAACATAGGTAGCGTTAAAGTCTATTCTAAAATATATCTGGCGTTGGTGTTCTGCGGGGGGTATATAAGTTTCTGAAGAAGTCATTCCTAATAGAGAGAACCCATAAAGCAAACTATCAGCCCATTATGAATGGGCTTCAGATTTCTATCGATAGATTGCAAGATGGATCACTTTAAACTTTCGATGAAGTTGTGTTCAATTAATCAGTGCCCAGCCTGAATAGAGGAAACTAATTACACTAGATTACCTCTTCCATCCCACAATATTTCAGTAAAAATTGAATTATTCAAAATTCCTGAAATGGAAGGAAAGGTCTTTAAGTTTTTCTCACACGGAATATTTTCCAAGTTTAGTCAGTTGAAAATCACCAATTCTTACAATAAACTTTGATCTTGGTCACTTTTTAATAGGAGTCTCGTTGAGAATCTGTAAACTAAGATATTCTTCAATATGGGTACCTAACTACAGATCGGCTGATAACTTATTGAGACTGAAAGTTTCCACCTATAAGCTTTCCTAGGGTTTTCTGAGAAGGTTGCACTGATTCTTACATCAGTCAGTTGTATACCCATTTTCCTGTTTAAATATTTCTAGTTTTAGCATTTGATTCCAGGTTTGGGGCTTGTAAAAGCATCCTGGCTTTGTTTTAACCAAATTTTATCCCTATTACACCCACTTTCTCAGTGTATTCTTCTCGCATTTTACCGGGGGAGAATAGATTAACAGTTTCTAATTTGAGCTACTTCTTGGACTCCACTATATGTAAAATTCAGCTGCCTCATTTTTAGGTCTCCAGGCATACTTGTGGTTTCACCTTTTCCAAGTTTCTTTAGTTGCCATTGCTCTGTCTTGCTATCTCCACTTAGTGTTTGCTAGTTAAGCATTATACATAAGTAATGTTCATTCAAACATTCTTAAGTGTGATAATAAAGATACATTTATCTTGTTTCAGACCCCTGTGATCTTCAATTCGCGCATCTATGAATTCCAGCGGAGGTTCAAGTAAGTACTCATTCCTCCACCTGTCCAATTAATTTTAATCATTTTACGAAGTTAATTTCATTTTGCTAATTTGAAATTTGCAATTTCTCTACTAAATATTAAAAACATCCCTATGAGGGTGTCAGCGGGTCTAGGAAAATTATTCTGAGTCTCAGTCTGGTTCAGGGTTTAACTAATACTGAGAGTTACACTCTGAACAGTGAGTAGAAGAATCGTTTGCAATGAAGATTCAAAATTATAGTTAATGTAACGTTTCAAACCCGAGGGGAACAAGTTCACATCTTTCTGCAATTTGTCGTAAGTAAAATCGATACTAATAATTGTTCATTCTTTCAGCTACGTGTGCAACAAAGTGTTGATCTAAGAAGTCAGGGAATATTGATTATCCATGTCAGGGAAAACCTGGAAAAGTTTGGGAATCTTTCTCTGCAGGCCTGTAGACACCCTGCTCTACTGTACCCCTAATTATGGGCCCTTTTTTCCCGAAGACAGTTCAAGTATCACATATCAATGTGATACAAGTGTATTTGTGACTTGTCCTGCAAACTCCCAGAAAGAATTCCAAAATTTTGATTACACCTCATTTCAAGTCAGCACAGTTAAGGCATTGTGTTTGAATCACCTTTGTTTCAACCAACTTGGTGGCACTGGGGTAGGAGGTGCTGTCATGGTCGTAAGGAAAGGGACGTCTGTATAACGCGGACAGGTGACAGGGTCCCAATCCCATTACATGATATAATTTTACTTGATCGCTCTTCACTAATCTTTGAATTATTTACAGCTAGCATATTTGTTCCAAAAATATATCTAATTGTCAATATCTTTATTGTCTCTTGTAGATCAGAGCAGGTCAAGGGGACCGTCATCGGTATCGATTTGGGAACAACCAATTCTTGTGTGGCTGTTATGGAAGGCAAAACGCCAAAAGTTATTGAAAATTCTGAAGGCTCAAGAACAACACCCTCTGTCGTAGCATTCTCCAAAGGTATTATGAAGTGAATTTATTTTTAGTCATTTTTGATTAAAGTGTGATAACTCAACATATCTCCAAAATGCCTACTTTTCAGGGGAGGCAAAAGACTTTTTCATTTTCCATTTTATATAAACACTTACTTAAATGTTTAAATTATCGTATCAAAATTCTGTTCAGCAAGTATTTATTAGATGAGAATATAAAATTTGAGCTTCATTTCATTGGACTGAAAAATTGTGTCTATCATGATTTGCCGATTTGCATGAGTTTGCCTTTAATTTACACAGATTAGTGCTTTAAGTCATCTGCAAGCTTTAATTGCATATCTTTGAAATAAATTTTAATGTAGGAGATGCTTTGAAAGAAAATGATTCACTCAAACCCTTACTTTTTTCAGATGGCGAAAGGATTGTCGGTATGCCAGCCAAACGTCAAGCAGTCACTAATTCAGCCAATACTTTCTATGCAACTAAAAGATTAATAGGTCGCCGTTTCGACGATGCTGAAGTGAAGAAAGACATGTAAGTTAATAATTCTTCATGGGCATATTAGTCCACTTTTGTCATTTTGTTTGCGTTACTGTAACCTCACAGAGGGGCATGGTGCAAAATATGACTGAAAACTCGGGGTGCCTGAGTCCTTAGCACAAAATGATTTCTCATCTGAGATGGGGAAAAAGAAGAATAATATGCTGGCAAATGAGGACCTTCTTGTCTGTTCTGTTGAGAAAATTTTGAAGTCTAAAACATGAAGAGTGAAAGCATAAGAAATGTGAGAGAAACAAGCATTTAAGAAATTAGTTAATTCTCTAATTCCACCTAAACAAATGAAAATTGTCTTACATAAATGGATCTTGTCACTGTCAAAAGAACTGACACTTGGGAAGCAACACATTTTGTTTCCGTACCGATGGTTAAATTTGAGATCAGTGTAATAGAGACCTATCTCAGCAAAACGTGTTGCTTTTTCTGAGAGTGCTTAATGAGCTGAGTTGACAGCATTTTTCATAATTTTTCTCTGATCTGGGGATCCTAGAAAAATAGCATTAAAAGTGAGAAAACACACCACCCAATGATGTCTTCTGGCAGCATTTTCCACATGAAAACATGTGTTTTAGTAGAGTAGGTCATTTATTCGACTCTCCTCCAGTAATCAATTTAGAAACTGAAGATATTCTTGCTCTCAGTCCACTCAGTACTTAGTTTCCACTTAGACCTGAAATTCATCTAATTTCAGGCATCTGTAAAGTCCCCACAGTTTTTCTTAGCATTGCCCTGGTATCTTCTCGACAACAGCTTCTCTCTAGTCGCACAGTTTTTAAGTATGTTCTTGTGTGTGTTTCAGGAAAACTTTGTCCTACAAAATTGTCAAAGCATCAAATGGAGATGCCTGGGTGCAAGCTACTGATGGGAAAATGTATTCGCCGAGTCAAATCGGAGCCTTTGTTTTAGTAAAAATGAAAGAAACAGCAGAAAGTTACCTTGGAACTCCAGTGAAGAATGCAGTCATCACAGTTCCTGCCTACTTCAATGACTCTCAAAGACAGGTACATGTCCAATCAGGGGCTTTCTTTTTTCTCTTTGAAGTACTTTTTAAAGAGATGATTCAGTAAAATAAACAGTTCAACCTCGACTCTTGGCATTGGAATTGTTTGTCTTTTCAAAAGCTCTTTCTTTTATCATTGATTCTCTTCTTCTGCAACAGCTTGCATACGTTTTTATCAATCAATCAATCAATTTTTATCATTTTTTATTTTTTTGCAAGCATTTTTCGGAGTCCAATGAAGACTTTGGAGTAATTTTTGAGGAATGTACGTACTCATACTAAAATTAGAGAAAGCCCTGAAAGGTCGAAAACAAACTGTCGTCCTTCAAAATTTGGGGAAGATTCTAGTAGATTCTGGAGAAGAGAAATGAGTCTCGTTGTATATACATGCCTGTTGGGAGAAAATTTGAGTGACATATAGAAAGTTTTAGAAAAAACTACCAATCACTGCCATGTGATACCTACTGTAAGCCGAGAAAAATTCTAGCAAGTTCCAAAGAGGGCAGAAGAGCCTTATTTACCCACCACCCGCCACTTTGCATGTAGAATATTTTGAGAGGGATTGAAAGGAACCATGGGCCTTGGTTGCATAGTGTATTCTAGTAGCCTCCGTTGATGAGCCGACTGATGCAAGGTAGGAGCAGAGGAGACATTGACCAAAGAGCAGCATCAGGGATGGAGACCTCTGCACTGGGCTCGAACGATGTGACCTGCGAAGGAGTTTTTAAGGGTCCACAGGCCTGTGCTACAGTAATATTATAATCAGAATTGGATTTTAGGTTGTCACTTACTTCTTAGTGAAAACATTTTAATACCCAACTATTTATACCTCCTTTACCTTGAATTTTTTGTTACGCAGGCAACCAAAGATGCTGGTCAAATTGCAGGGTTGAACGTTTTGCGAGTAATCAATGAGCCAACAGCTGCTGCTTTGGCTTATGGCATGGACAAGACCGATGATAAAATGTAAGTCTCATTTTCTGACTTACTTATAGTGTTAAGCTCTTCAAAGTTTAATAACTGAAGTTAAAAAGTGTTTATGGCTTGGGCCTACATACTGGGAAGGAATAGCCTTATCAAATTTATTGTTGTCATCAAATGCAATTTTTTGTTAGAAAACTCGATGTGAGCTTTCAGTTCAGTTAATCATTTCAACAAATAAAAATGAGAACTCAGCTTTTTTAGCTCAACAGGTAAATATCTGACCTAAAAGCAGTTCCTATCTCATAGTTTATTATTTTTTCTCTATATTAATATGCCTCCTCATGAGGGACTGAACTGAAACATGGACTTGACTGCAAAATTCTCCGGAAGTCACTGTTTCTTAAATATTCGGTATTTCCAACCTGTCCACAATATTTACCCTGCTAATCTTTATTTTCCAGCATTGCCGTCTACGATCTGGGTGGTGGAACTTTTGATATTTCAATCCTAGAAATTCAGAAAGGAGTTTTTGAAGTTAAATCAACCAATGGTGACACATTCCTTGGTGGAGAGGATTTCGACAATGTTTTAGTGAATCATCTCGTCACTGAATTCAAGAAAGAGGTAAGTGGTTAGCTTTAACACATCGAACTTAAAAGCCCGTAGAAACTTTGCTTCACACATTGATAACATGGCCTAGCCATGTATGAATTCTCTGGCTGCCCCAATTACCCAAGACCAGTACTGCCTTGATATGACAAAAGTAGGTATGGGCAATGCCTCCGTGTTCTGTATCGTCTGTCTGGTTCTAAAACTCCACCTGAAATGCCGGGAATTTTAAAGTATCCTTGTTTTTGACCTGGTTAGAAGAAGATGCTCTTCGACAACTGATATGAAACTATTCTGTCTCACAAATCTATTACAATGCTTTCGAAACCCCTTATTGTTGAGTCATCTATCATGAGAGTTTCTCCATGCAATCTCTGTAAGGAGAGTCAGAGGTATTTTCAGAAAGGCCTCCATTGAAAACTACTATTTTCAAAGTAGGACACTTCAAATAATGTCTCAAATAATCCATAAAGTAAAGTTACGTCTACAGATCATCAATTGTCGAAGATTGAATTTTATAATGAAGGTATTCCATTTACAGTAATTTCGTCAATTTTTAAAAGCAGGAATATCTTGCTAGCAGAAAACACAAAAAAAGCAGTTGGTGTCCATTATTTCCAGCCCTCTAAAGTCCTGCTAACCCTAACTTTTCGGTAACTTAGACTTTAATCATTTAGTTCACTGAAACTGAAGAACAATCCCCAAAGTTTCAATCAGCATCAAGTTCAGTACTCATCAGTCGGAAAATCTTCTTAATGAATTGAAAGTATTAATGGCGGTGCCAATTGTTTAACCTACTCAAAGCGATTTGAACTCTGAATTTTTCCTATTGACTTTTTTTTTTTTGTTTTTTTTTTTTTTTGCTTTATATATATAATGAAGTGTGTTACTACTCAAATGTTTCCTCTTACAGCAAGGAATAGATGTCACAAAAGATGCAATGGCAATGCAGAGGTTGAAAGAAGCTGCAGAGAAAGCTAAAATCGAACTCTCATCCTCCTTGCAAACAGACATTAACTTACCCTACCTCACGATGGATGCTAGTGGACCTAAACACATGAATCTTAAGGTAAATATACTTCAATTTCAATGCTTTCTTGAACAATTGCCCAATATTTGAAAATGGTATCGAGTCATCAATCAAACCTTTTCTAAAGAACCTCTAAAATAAAGGCAGATCAACAAAGTTGTCACATTTCCATTAGAGTGGCTATTTTGGAGACTTGTGGTACGTAGAAATTACAGGCTCTGCTGCTTGATTCAAATATACCCAATGCCATTTAATGTTAGATTATTAGAATTGCTATCACCTAGGTCTACACACATAGCTTTAAAGTAGCAATGAGGAAGAGTGCGCCAGAATGAACAAATGCTGAAATATGAAATTTCTCTCGTGATCTGCAAGAAACCCTTTGGACTATTCTGGGCTTCTTTTTTTCCGCAGTGATCTCTTAATCCAAGGCAAAAGGTTAAACAACAGTTTTTCAACTACTAGTCTGCTGATGGAAAATTGCCTCCATTATTAAACCTTTGATAGTCCCAAACTCATTTAAGGGATTTTCATCTAAAAAAACTGTTACCTAAGTATCCTCTATTAAATTAAAATTCCCTTTTCTCATGCTTGTTTCTCTCTTTTTAGCTAACGAGGTCAAAGTTTGAAAGTCTAGTTGCAGACTTAATCAAAAGGACAGTTGCACCATGTCAAAAGGCTATTCAAGATGCTGAAGTTGGCAAGTCAGATATCAGTGAAGTTCTTCTAGTTGGTGGTATGACAAGGATGCCAAAGGTAAGTGTGCTTCAACGCAAGTTAATTTCCATACAATACTGAATTTTACACCGTGAAGTAGCCCAGACTTAGTGTACAACTTCTGTACTCAGATAATTGTTGAGTAACTGTATTTATCAAAAATTGTTAAGGAGCAAAAATTTTGGGCAGGAGGGGATATGCTGGGCATGTGTAAGATAATTCCTCAGTATATTTTTAACAAAATAAAAAAAAAAAAAAAAAAAAAAAAAACACACCAACAAAATGACCTTAACTGTATATAACAAAGTGGAGAAATAGTGCTGGGTCCACACCATTTTGTGGGGAAATCAAAGCCGAGAAATTCGAACAATTTCAATTAGAGTAAAATTTTTTTAACTTTGATGAGTACCAGTACAAAAGTGAGGGGCGAGAGTGTCAGGCAGTTTGCATTAGAATGTTACGTTGAGGTCATGCCGAGAGATCCATTTCGGGTCATATTCATGACGATGTTTTAGTGCCGTCTTGGATTTTGCGGAATGCTAATTTGGGTTTACTGACGAGTGTGATCTACTGATGAGGTCTGAAAAGTCCCAAAACTTAATAGATCTCTCGGCGTGACCTCATTTTATTATTCCGATGCAAACTGCGTGAGCTGAACATTCTCCCCTCTCGGTTTTGAACAGGTACTCATTTGAGCTCAAATTTTTTGACTTCAGTTGTAATTTTTCAGCTTTGATTTCCCCACAAAATGGTGTGAATCCAGCACCATTTCTCCACCATGTACATTTTTAATTAAAGCTAAATTCAGCAGAAATTTCATACCCAAAATGAGGTAATTATTTTTCAACAATCGCATTTTCAAACTATTGTAAACGTAATTGCATTTTGAATTTCTGGAGCCTTGAGTATTACCCATGTATTTTGAGCCCTTGAGACAATCATCAACCTTTATTTTGCCCCCAGTCCTCTTGTTTCCTGTTAAAACCCTGATCTTACTCATTAAAGAGGATTTTTGCTCCGTCTTAGAAAGTAATTTTTATCGTTGTGTCGGCAACAATCAGCAGCATATTGTTTATGCTAGGTATCTTTGGTATCCATGAACAGGTCATCAAGTAAAAATTTGTTTTGAAAAAAATTGGCATCGTTACGTAATAGAACTTTTTGGTCATTTTCTGACCTTAATGGTAAAATATTCAAGAAATCCCCATTCACATCTCTCTTTTCTAATGAAATTTGTGTTTTAAATACAAAATAAGTTACGAACATTTGATCTTTTTTGCAGGTCCAACAAACAGTACAGGAAATCTTTGGTCGCCAGCCAAGCCGAGCAGTAAACCCCGATGAAGCAGTAGCGGTGGGAGCCTCAGTTCAGGGAGGTGTTCTTGCCGGTGATGTGACAGACGTCTTATTGCTTGATGTCACTCCTCTCTCTCTAGGTATCGAAACTCTTGGTGGTGTCTTCACAAGGCTTATCTCCCGTAACACAACTATCCCAACCAAGAAGAGTCAAGTTTTCTCCACTGCAGCTGATGGACAAACTCAAGTAGAGATTAAAGTTTACCAAGGTGAACGTGAAATGGCCTCCAACAACAAGCTCCTTGGACAGTTCACCCTTGTCGGCATCCCACCAGCGCCGCGTGGAGTTCCTCAGATTGAAGTAACTTTTGATATTGATGCCAATGGAATTGTGCACGTTTCAGCCAGAGACAAGGGAACCGGAAAGGAACAGCAAAGTAAGAATCTGTTTTTTTCCTCTTACTTCGAATATATTCTTAAAGAACACTCTTTTTGGCATACCAGTGAGCATACTACATGGAGCTTACTCACTTTAAAGTCCACTGTGAAAAAAATGTTCCTCTCTTTATTGCAATGCCGTCAATGATCGCAACCTTTTTGTTCAATTATTCTTACAATTAGTTAAAAATTAGGTAATTTTCATGAAGAAGTGGAGTAATTCTTGTCATTCCTAAAGAATTCATAATTTTATTTCACATTCAGTGATAACTCTGAATATACCCTTAAGTAAAGTATAAAAGCAGAGCTATGTATGCGCATCTCGGTACGCTTCTGATAGTTCATAGTTTGAAACTATGCTTTTTCAGGGTTTTTTGGAGGTCTCTAAAACTTAGAAAATCAGTGAGTTTTTTGTTACCTGGAAAGAAATAAGAAATTTTGCAAGCAGCAGGTAGCAGAAGTGAGAATACGAAATGAAGAGAAAACAAAATTTTAGGCGGAAGTTTTATTAGAATGTCAGGAAAAGTCAGGGAATCCGAAAATTTTGGAGTCACGGAAAAGCAAAATTAGTCAGGGAATTGGAAGATGAGGAAACTATGGGAACTTTCAATGTGAAACTTAAGTGTGGTCTCTTTTTTTGGTCTACTAATATTGTAATTTTTTATTTTAGTTGTCATCCGGTCATCTGGTGGTCTGAGCAAAGATGAAATTGAAAACATGGTTAAGAGTGCTGAAGAATACGCCCAAAGTGACAAGATCAAAAAGGAACGAGTTGAAGCTATAAACCAAGCAGAAGGAATAATCCACGACACTGAATCCAAAATGACTGAATTCAAGGATCAACTACCATCTGAAGAGGTATGAATTTGTCTTCATGTAATAGTAAATTTTTTGAAGTTCCATTGAAAGAACTTGTTCCATAAATTTTGCCGCTCCCTTCTGTCTTGGATAATTGTGTAGCTTGGAAAGTAAAGTTGGAAGTAAAAAGCAACAAAAATACTTCATTAAATGTTGTATCTAATCAGGTGATGTCAATCCGCTACCTTTTTTATATCTTTACTGACGTGCAGTCGCTCAGAAGTCAGTGTTTTCCCTCAGCTCAACATTAAAAATTAATCACCAAGAAAATGCATGGGACCTAAATCAAATGTTTTAAGAGCGTTTAGTTTTCAGTCTGTATATTAAGAAAAAATTGCAATTTCTCTTCATGACTCATTTTATCTAGGTACACAGCCAAGAACTGTTGCTATAAGTCTCAGTGATCATTTATTACAATACGTACATTATTCTCGTATGCTTTTTTGGAGGTTACTTAATCCTTTTGTTTCTTATCACAGTGCGACAAGCTGAGGGAACAAATGAGCAAAGTTCGGGATATCTTGACAAAAGGAGAAGAAGCAGACCCTGAAGAAATTCGCACAGCAACCAATGAACTGCAGCAAGCTTCATTGAAACTATTCGAGATGGCATACAAAAAGGTAAGGATATTGACAAGATCTCACCATAAGACCCTGTGAGAAAATCCAGGAAAAATCATCACATGCATTCACTTGTGTATAACACGTATTTTTTTCCACTTTTGAATGTTCGAAAAGTCCTCTATGCACTAAACACGAAGGTCAAGAATTCGAGTTTTTTTCGGCCAGGCAAAATGCGTGATAATGCAGTAACCAGCGGCAACATCCCTGTGTAGCCCTGATCACTTGATGCCTTCGCATCTGCTTTTTAATTGCCTTCTACCTCCACTGTCCCCACCATTTGCCAAGATAAGTCACCTGGTGCACTTGGTTTCTTCTGCTTATTTCGCAGCAAAATCTTTGAGCATTGCACAAAACTGATAGAATGCGTGATTTCGCTTTTGAGCTCCTGAGAAGAATTCAAATTTTTCGATCTCGATTCTGCTCTCTTCTCAGTGTTATAAGTCTGCAATTTTTTTGTGTATTTTATTTTTGTGTGTCTTACTGTACACATAAAATCTTCCCACGCATTAGACCCAAGTAAATCCAGTTTTCCTTCTTATTCCGAAGCCAGGGAAAAGTTGGAACATTTTCTGTAGAGGGCCAAAAAAGTATTTAAAATCTTAATGTAATTTGCACAGTTGAACATGGTTTATCAAGAAGTTATGTCCCTGATGGCATCAAGTTGTGAGAAAACTCATGAAAAATTAGACAATCCTCCTTTCTCATTTTTGAATCGCAGAAATTCCCATTTTGCTTTATATTCACGCATTTTAAAGGTAAACAAATTCATGGATTGTTTAGTTTTGTTGTGTTTTAAGCGCTTGGCAATTAGCAAATGTGTCCATAAGATTTTATTAATAATTATTTTGTAATCAACATCTCAACTTCAGGACTCAGGACATCCATCTTCCAGAAATTCATTTTGCTAATTTTTGCCAACGCTGTTGTTTCTATGTTAATTTAACACCGTTTCGCTGATGAAGAAAATATTCTTATTTTACTTAGTGCATTTTCTTGAGTTAAGTTTTCATGCTTGAACTCACAAAATATGTGTCTTTCAGATGGCAGCCGACCGAGATGGTAGCAGCAGCTCCAGCAGTAGCGAAGAACAATCCAGTGAAGAGAAAGGTGAAGAGAAAGAAAAGAAAGAAAACAAGCAGTGAGGTACTAAAACTACAAACAATTAGTTTCAAGTGTAATCCTGCCTCTGGACTGAAGAAAGTGCATTTCAAAACATCATGTTGAATTAGGATGACGTTCAGCATCTGTTCCTAAGTGATTTTTCTCATCAGCATCATCTATGAGAGTCTTCTGCTCCATGAAAGAAATGTTTATTTGATTTTTTTGTTCCTTAAGTAAGCCACCGCTTGATAAAGGTGTCTAATCTCTTCTTGTTAGTTTTTGCTCTTCTATTTTTCCCTGTGGAGAGTGTATTTTAGTGACTAAGGGGCCTAACTTGAGTGAAAACGAAAGCAATGGAGACCATAATCAGAATTATGAAATAAATTTCTGATTCTATACGACAGCACACTTGAGATAGTCAGAACATCAGATTTTGATGGCTCCTTTTCTTTCGTTTTCTCTTACCATGATCTTACACTTTCTCAAACTCAGTCTTTTTTGTTCAGAATTCTGTGAAATTTTCTCAACAGGTATTATGGCATTCACAACTCGATATATGTACATTTTTAAATCCATTAAAAGAAGCATTTAAGAGATCCCAATAGACGGTGTCCCAAAAACAAGTGCATTATTTTCAGATCGTCTGAGGTTATGATTTCATCTGTGCTGTACTATTTGTTTCTGGAACGTGTAAATATTTGTGTACCTTATGCCCCTTTCTGTTGAATCGAATGTCTGTGCGTGAATGTGAATGGAATTTTTTTTTCTTTTGTACGACTGTCACCATGAATTTATTTTTGCTTAGGTCTTTCGTGCTAGGCTTGAATGGAATCCCTTAGTTTTTAAATTAGTGAGAAATTAGACTCCCCCTTCACACCTTTCCAAGCAAGCATACATATTCGCATATGTATATAGAATTGTTATTCCTAGTATCTCAAGCGCTCCTATAAATATGCCATCACTATATTTATAGCATTTTTTTAATGTTGAAGGAAAATGACCTTGTTTTCAAATTGATATTGTAAAGTTTTAATAAAATCAGTTTTTTTTTACTTTTGAGTTTTCTCTTTCATGAAGAAGTTGCCCAACATAAGGGTGTTTAAACGAATTCTTGCTGGAATGCTATAGGTATCATCTCTTATCGAAACTGGAGCCATTACCGACAGTGGCGATGATATCGTTAGCAGCCCGCCTTATCGAAGTTTTGAGAGCCAGCATTCAATGCATTGTTGCCTTGTGTGTCGGTTTGTCAAACTGCCTGGCATGGCGGCGCATATAATAGATGTACAATTGGCAACAGTTTATTTTTGTCAGCTCCAAAAACTCAGATCGCTATCAGTAAGAGCGATCTTATCGTAACTTTTTCTTAATGGAACTGTTTTGGTAGCTTACTAACAACCGATAAAACAGCTCTAGCCCAATTGCAAAAGCACAAATTACTGTCAAGTGTAAGCTCTGTCTTTTCAGGCTTTGGATCAAGTTCAGCAAAGAATAATTTTTTTTTTTTTTTTTTTAAAGAAAATCTCAATTAAGGAGGCTGAACTAATATTATCTAAGAATAATTTTGCAATAGAATTCTGCTGGATTTCTTAATTAATACCTCCTACCAACAATTTAGCAACTGAATATTGCTTGCTGGATTTTTTACCTACTGTATGAGAAGGTTTGCTTCTGCCTCATTGACAGTGAATGGTTTAACCTTGGTTTTGAGGGGGAAAAACTTGTCAATCACTTATTCAATCTCAACGCACACATTATATGAAAGATGAACGATTCTCATAAGTTGTAGAGAAGGGTTACTGAAAGTAAAGATAACTAATGCTTCCGAAGCAAATTGAAATCATTCATGGGGAAGAAACTTGGAGGCTACTATGATGTTTCCTGTTGCAACTAAGATGACTGTTCCACCCCAAAAAACTATCTAATCAAGATCAGCAGGTGAACAGTTATAGCTTTTGAGTGAAAACTTCAGGTGAACAATTTTTTGGGGAAAAAAATGTAATAAAAAGTCTTAAATTTTTTCTTTTCTTTAATTTAAAAAGTACCAAAAAAAAGAGAGAAAAAAAGAAAAGTACAGAGGTATACAATACTGAAAATTGACTAATAAATTAAAAGGCCTCCAAACCTCACTTCTAGAAATTACAGCCACGATGGATGATTAATTTTTTTAACTTCACTGCAAAAATAAATTTACGAACAGATATTCATTCTTAAATCACCAAATTTCTTGAATGAATTGCAAAAGTGAAATTGGTACCAAGCTGAGCAGTGAATTTTTGTAAGGATTTCTGAATCTTGCATTGATTCTTGCAGTTACTTCATTGGTTACGGCCCAGAATTATCCCTCTCGACTGGATGACCAGAAAAATTAGTGCTGAAATCAATGAAGATGTACAAGGCTCCACATGGTACTATACAAACAGCTCGAAGGCAATTTCGAATGTGAAGTTTCAAAATTTCTGTCATTCTTCTCAGAAGAAGACTTGACAAATTTACTGCTTGAAATTTTAACGAAACTTCTTCATTGAGAGGTGTATTGTCATGACTTAAATTAAATGGCAGAAATGCTAGTTTTGTGAAAAATTTATAAAACTTTAGTTCACGTTGATTATGCCGTATTCATTTACTTCTCTCACACTCCACTGTGCTATTTTATTTGCCATCGAGTCATTAAAATTTCTTTGCTCGTGGCTACTACTAGGTTCATTTTTTAAATGATTTAAAACGGAGTCCATACATAGTATACATTGCAAGACAAACGTGCCTTTTCTACTTTACACACTCTCGCTCCACTTACTTATTAAATTATTGTTAGGACTGAGAAAGAAGGATTAGTAATAACCAGGCTTTCTTTACAAACTTTCTGAAGGATAGGATGTTGCACTGAACATCACCTTGCATACATGTAAGAAAAAAAATCACAAATTAATGGGCTTCTTTTTAAAATAAATAAATCAATAAATATATAATTTGTGACGAGTAGAAAAATTATTTTAAGCTGATTAATTGCATTTATTAATTTTACGAAGGTAAATTTCATCAAAGCAAACTATCAGATCGACAATAAAATCCAGAAATTTATGTACGTTCATAAGATTTATTTTAAGGTTTTTAGCACAGTCTCTTGAGGGGGGGATTTTAACCTTCTATGAAACAAAAAGAATCAAAGAAATCCTTCATGGTAATTGAATATGTAGACAATATTTGGAGGAATAAGACTAAAAAAAGAAGATAAATTCAAAGATTAAAATCTAATGAAGAAAAATAAATAAGTAAAGAAATAAATAAATTAGTCAATAAAACAACTAGAGCTTGAATTACGGAGATACGAACTCTCCCATCCGGTATCAATGATTTGTGTTGATATTTTGGGGTATAAATTGATGAAATGTACGGTAAGAAGCAAGAAAAGGATGAAATAAATCAGCACATACTTCTTAATAAAAAATCCTATAGGTGACTAATTTCCCCTCCGTGTTTTAATCATTTTTAAAGATCTTTCGTCAAGATCCTGAGCAAAAGATTATTGCAGCACAGCTAGAAACTAAGACGGGAGTAATTAAAGAGGGGAAACGCGAGAGCTTAATAGAAATGTGCTTTCTCTGACATTTCTTTTCATTGGTGAGAGTTGACTGCTGGTTCTTCTTTTTCTTCTTCTTTGTTTTTATTCGGATCATCTGGCTTCATGGCAGGGAAAAATAGTACTTCCTAAAGAAAACAAAATAATAACAAGAATGAGCAGAGTCCAAAGGTTTGTTGAACAGCAAAGTTATAGTGAACTGACAACTTACGATGAAGTGCAAAATAATGAATGAACTGTTTCATTCATCCAAAAAAAACAAAAATTGAGGAACAAAGGGTGACCAAATGAAGAGAAAATAATTGAAAAAATGCCGAGTTTCCTGCAACTTCCAAGGAGAAAAATTCAGAAAATTTGATACTTGCAGGCAATTTCTTGTGTTCTTTTGACGAACTACTTGATACTTAAGAAGGGTTGAAAATTAGTTCAATAGGATGGTCTTTTTGTATTCCCATACTATCTCAACTGTGATGAGTCTTACTTCAGTGCATACTTTAAGAGGTGGTTAATAGCCTAATGCTTTTCTGAGGATCCCTTGCAAAGTTTGAAATCGTAAAATTGGAACTGTTATGAACATACTGATCATGGCTTAAACTTAATTTGATGTTATAACTTACCTTGATATTATTTGAGTCAGTTAGGAACATTGTTAATCGGTCTATACCAAGACCCCAACCTGCGGTTGGTGGAAGACCATACTCTAAGGCTGTGCAGAAATTTTCATCAACTAACTGTGCTTCATCATCACCGGCCGCTTTATCCTGAAAATGAGAGAGAATTCTTTCAATGAGCATTTAAAGAAGCAATGATGAAAATTGAGGAGCTCTCCGAAAAAAGGGCACTTACCCATAAGGGGTCCGGAGGGGGGTGCTTTCCTTTCCCCGGATATTGCAGAAATGGATTCTTTGTATCCTAATGTAAGTATGCCCTGAGTTTCAACTCAATGAATCAATTTTTAGAGCCAAGAGACCAAGTTTTGTGCGGCTCAGTCAAGGGTCATAACCTATTTCCAGAAACTGCAGTTAGGCCAATTTTTTCAGTCCAATTAGATCTAAGTACCGTTGTACCAAATGGTAGCAGAGCTGGCTGCAAATCGCTGCTTAGTATCATACCTTATTCTCTCTAGGCACTGTTGTGAAGATAACGTGCAATCCTAACGGATGGGTGGGGAATACTTTTGACAGCAAAGCATTTTTTCTTACTTCTAGTATGCAGATGAGACCTTACTTGACCTCATTTTTATTTAGAAACTCATTCATACTTCAATAGTCGAGCTTTGAAAGCCAAAACCTATGACCACCGGTCCACTTCTGGCACAAACGGAGGAGTTAAAAAAAAAATCCTCTCACAACACTGGAAGAAGTGTAAGTTTTACCAATGATCGTCACTCATTCTAGGGTGTATAAACTTTGGTCTAAGGGACCAGGTTCCAATGTAAGTCACTATCAGTGGCCAGAAACTAATAATGAAAACTTCAAATACGTTTTTCTAACAAAGCGATTATTCCGCAAGTGCCCTATTCCCAGAAAGCTCCTTAATTATGAGAAAGAAACAATAAAATGTGTTTTCAAGGTATTATGGAGAATAAGAACCAAAATTAAGATGTTAAGGGCCAGTTACAAGTCCCAACTGAAAACAAAAGAAATACAAGGTCTTTCTGACAAAATGTTTGAGCTACTAAAATTTCAAGCCAAGCAAAAGCCTTGTAAAGAAAACTAGACAATATATTTTGATACTCACTTTTGCCTGTTGTTCAAATCTTTCTCGTTGCACAGCAGGATCGTTTAACTCTGTGTATGCGTTACAAATTTCTTTTTTCATTGTAAATAATTCAAATCTTTCCGTCAGTCCTGGTATTGATCTGTGCCATTTTGCGAGCGGAGACATCACTTGAGGATGATCACAAATGAAAGTGGGATTGATACACTTCTCTTCCAAAAATTCACCAACCAGCTGAAATATAATTGCATTAAATTTAGGTAAAATTGAAAGGAATCATTGAAAGTAGTCACTTAGTATGTAGAGTAGACAGCCACATGACTGGCTACAAGAATGATGGTTGTGTAAGACAGACAATAGGTTGGTTGCATTGGTGACAGTTTGTTTGGATGACGTTGAGAAAACTAGTCATATCTACGATATGAGTTTTGAAGGAAGACCTTTAAGCAATAGTGAGAACTGATATCACATCCTTGGTGAAACTCCCAAACGATGTATCTTGTTTGCAGTGTTTAAAACTCTTTGCTCCTGTTTCTTTTTTTCTTTTCTATAAAAAGGGGAACAAATCAACATCATTTCTTGAAGTTTTCTCAGGATTTACTTTACACAACAGAAAATTCACGGGGGTTTTTAAGAATAGACGTTGAGTAATTCTCTATTTAAAAATAAGGTGGAGAAATGGTGCTGGGTCCACACCATTTCCCAGGGAAATCAAAGCCAAGGAGTTCCAAAAATTAAAATTAAGAGTCAAAATTATTTTTGAGCTCTTATGCGCACCAGTAGGAAACTGAGGGGGGAGAGTGTTCAGCTCAGGCAGTTTGCATAGGAATATTAAGTTGGAGTCACGTCAAGAGATCTATACCGGTTTGGGCCTTTTTAGACCTCATCAGTAGATCACACTCGGCAGTGAACCCAACTTAACATGCCGCAAAATCCAAGACGGCATTAAAACACCGTCATGGATAAGACCCGAGGCATGACACAAAAGTGTGATCCTTGCGCTATCTACCGTCGCCGCGAAATACGCGATTTTTCTGGCGGTTTTGCAAAATCATTTAGAGTTACGCGTTCATCATTTTGATATTGCAGCATATACGCGAATTTACAGCAGTTGATTAAGAACATTCAAGATTACACAATTTTCAACTCAAAATCGCTGAAATTACTCCCACTGCACCAAGTGATGAGGCGTGAGAAAATTTTGTGTTGTGGTGGTGTAAAAGTAAGCATACACTAAAGAACTTTCAACTTGCCTGGTTCTCATTTCTGAGTAAGTAAAAATAAAAAATAAAAATAATAAGTTATGCCTTATGAAAACTAGAGTTCTTTGTATGATGCGTCAAAGTCACCAAACAGAATATCATAAAAAAGAAATTAACTGTCATAAAATAAAAATAAAAGCTCCACCATACCTTATCTAATAACCTAGCAGCAGTTCTGGGAGGTGGACACTCAATTTCATGTTTCACACACAAATCACTGAGTTGTTTAGTTGCTTCAGGAGTAGATAATTCTGTTGGTGAGGGAAGCTTCACTTTCAGAATTTCTTCTAAGGCTGGGAACATGTACAACCGTTTGAATGGAGGAGTAAAGTCAACTTCAACAGGGTTGCCAGCTTCGACACCATCTGGATGATACGTCACTTTGTAGGAGCCATGAATGCTTTTCACCATTCCTGCAAACACAGCCACAAAGGTAAAGTACAGCTGCTATAGTTGAGTCTTCATGTTACAATATTACAATTAAAAAAAGAAATTTTTGTAATTACAGGAATAATTTAAGAAAATATTTGAGCAAGAGACTCACTTATTAATTTGAGAGATTTGTGCGAATCGTTTTAAAGCACGTTATCAAGTTTCTGTTAAAAATTCAAGGCTATACACTCGGTAAAACCAATTATGATATTCAAGGTAAGGTAGAGAGGCAACCAAAGTCATCTGGAAACTAAATTAAAGCTAATTACGCTGTCTTGCGTACAAGGTAATGTATCTTGTCTGTACTGTTTCAGTATTTCTACGCACATTTTATTTATTTCATGAGAAAATTGTTGCTTGAATTAGTCTGAAATTTTGAAGCTTTTTCTAACCAGAGTTCAGAAAAATCACAAAAAATTTCAGAAAAATTCTTGAGACAAATCTCCTATTAGCGAATAATGAAGTATCAGTATTTCTGAGCACATTTTATTTATTTCATGGGAAAATTGTTGCTGCAATTAGTCTGAAATTTTGAAGCTTTTTCTAACAAGAGTTCAGAAAAATCACAAAAAATTTCAGAAAAATTCATGAGACAAATCTCCTATTAACAAATAAAATGTGAATAATGAAATACAGAAACAGCGCAATAGAGAAGCATTCCTTCATGCCAAATACAATGATTTGAGCGATATCTACAATTGATACAAAAAATTTATGCTAACAGCGGTCTTCTTGGATGGTATGCAGCAAGAATGGATCCACTGTGATATACAGTAAAAAAAAAAAAAAAAAATAAAAAAAATAAAAAAGGCACAACTGGTAGCAATGGTTCCACACACTTTCTACATTGACTATTTTTATATCATGACTTCGCTGATATATATTGTAAGCAAAATGCAGCTCTACTTAAAACTCAATGCTTCTTAATATTTATTGTGATTCATATACCTGACAATAAATCTTCAGTTATTTGCATGAGGTCATTGTAATCAGCATAAGCCATATAGAACTCACAGGTGGTGAATTCAGGATTATGTGTCAAGTCTATTCCTTCGTTGCGGAACTGTCTGCCAATTTCATATACTCTATCAATGCCACCTACAATTAACATCTAGAAAGCAGAAAACCAAAATTAAATTATAAAATACGATTGTGAGTGCGTACTTAAGAGTGACATAAACATGAAAACATAAGCTGACCTAAATTACAAGCCTCAATCAATTGTGTGAAGAATCAAAGTAAAAATCCAAAACTTGGATTCCATTCACTTTGGCCACAGCTGCAATTGCATATTATACCCGATTTTGCGATCTTGGTCTTTTATTTTTGGAGGATCATCTTGGCTGTCTTCAGTTAAAGAGTAATCAACTTTTCTTGAAAAGCAGAGGTCTACAAGTTAGAAACGGTTTGCAGATTTCAAAATTCATTCTTATGAAGAACATTTAAAGCTTTCACATTTCAGTTTGAATGATTCTTGGGTCATTTTCCTTGTGTAAGAAGACTTTTGAATGATAAATAATGATTTGTTTATTGTGTCCTGCTACTTAGTTGGTTTCTATTTGTGTGTTGAAAGAGGAATAAAATTAACAAACGGAGGGAGACCAAGTATTCGGCTGGACCCTTAGTGATCATTTACTAGTAAAACTGATTCGTATGAGGGAACTGAGTGACAATTCATCACAATGTTTCTTGTGGTGATGGTTTTTTATGAACTACAACAAGCGGGAAATGAGGAAAAACACAGTTAACATTAAAATACCTTCAGATATAATTCAGGGGCTATCCTCATGTACAGATCCATATCGAGTTCATTGTGATGAGTTACAAAAGGTTTGGCAGTAGCACCTCCCGCAATCATATTCATCATTGGAGTCTCAACTTCTAAAAATCCAAGCGCATCTAAATACTTTCTCACATAAGATATGATCTGGGCTCGAACTATGAATTTCTGTCGAACTTTATCGTTCAAAATTAAATCTAAGTACCGTTGACGAAATCTTGTTTCCTGCAAATTCAAAGAAAAAATATCTTTTAACATGTAAGAAATTTCAAAGGATGTTGTAAGGAAGTTCAAAGAACTTACATTCAAGGGTTGATCAGACATCATTGAGCAGTGCTTAACAGGATATTCCCCTTAATTAAATAGAACCTACATATTTCAGGGAATAATTTGGCATAATCTTATGCTAAATCACTGCTACAATTGAGAATGCACATTTAATAGCCAAGGTAGCTCTGGGTTGAAAGAATGATTTCTTGTTGACAATGTTTGCTGATGCGTTCCTTTGGCTGAGCAGTGTTTAAGACAGACTAGCATTAGGGATAACATATTCATCTACAGGAGTGGCAAAACGACCTGAGGGGCTTGAGAGCTTAGCAGACGTGGGCAATGATCACCAATGCTTTTGGATTCAGCCTCAGAAACTGGGATGGGTAATCGATAAAATTTGGAAAAGATCCCTATTTAAGTAACACATTTAAAAAAAATTCCAAAGTTCTGCATGTAAGTCTCTTTTTCAATTCCAAGTATTGATACTTCATAGCTGCTTAGTGATGACAAAGTCTCCTTTCTCAGTCGATGCTTGTGTTTAAAGACCATATATTCTTAATGGCGAGTGGATTATAAAGAGTAAAAAAGATACATACCTTATCTTTCAATCCAAAATGCAGGTGAGGCAACATGTGTAAACAAGGAGAGAGAAGAGTAATACTTGTGGGGACAATGGACAGTTCGCCTTTCTTGGTTTTGCCAGGATGACCTCTACATCCAATTATATCACCCCGCCGTAGTTTATCAACATCATTGAAGAATGCTTCCTCGGATGGGTAAAATCTGGCATTAGTCATGACTTGAATCTTTACTCCTTCCCCTCTAAGGTCGAAAAAGCGAAGTTTAGCACCTGATTCCCGGATGGCATGGACTCGACCTGAAGGACACAATGGACAAGAATATACTTGAATGGAAAAAACAAAACAAGCCAAACAAAATATTACCAGATTTGAGTTACTTTGATGGTATGGTAGTACTGCTGAGTCCACACTTCTGAGTGGAAGTAAATAAAACAAGTACAAAAGTTAACCTTGTTGTTAACAGTTAGCAAGCAATTACTTCAAAGCTTTTTACAAAACAATCATGATATTAAGTTATTTAGTTGATACGAATGATCATGAACTTTCTAGAATAAAATACACTTTCATCTGAAAGCAAAATCCAGAGGTCTTCTTCCAAAAAATTATTGAATATATCACCCCAATGGTTACATTTTTAGAAAAGTTAAAGAGAATTTCAAAATGGGCTGATTATCATCCAGCTATGGTATTTGAAATGAAAAAATTCAAGAATTATCTCTATATTCCAGGCACAAATGAGAGTGTCTTTTAAATGATGGACCACTGGAAAAAAAGTGACTCAGAGAATTCTGATACGTGTTTTCTCTTTCAAATTTGACATAGACCATGTTTGGGGCAATCATCATTACTGAAATCAAATTCTAAACAAAATACAGATTGATATTTTCATTTAGCACTGGTTACAAAAAATTTTAATTTACTGGTTACAAGAAAAGCCTAAGTCTATTAGAATCAAATCATACACTAGGTACAACAGTTTTGGATGGCAGGGTTCTTTCCTTGCCCCGTGTTGGTCAAAGTGCAAACAATGTACCACAGTTGAGCAAGCACCGATATTGAGAGAGCCATCTTTCCACACTGCAGACATTGTTACCAAGACACCTAAAAAGCGATTTCACTCAAGTATATTATGGTATTGTTATGAGCCTGAAGTTGAAATTCTCGCATCAAAAAATGTTAATACTTATCATAGTTAGGAGTTGCAATCAATAATTTTTATTGCACAAATCGTGTTCTACTAAAATTTTGATGAGAATGCATGGACCACAATGCTTAAGTTTGAACCTTGTCTGGCTGTCCATTGAAAAACTATTTTAAGGGTGCTTGATTGTCAATTTGATGTCGGAGAACTTACCAGATACACTGAGAGTCACATCCTCAAGAACTTCACCTTCCGATAAACTATTGTACTTGTCTATAAACGCTTCTAGAGAAATATCCACATGGAATTTGTGTGGATACGGATGAGGTCCTGATTCTTTTAACTGGCTGACAGCTGAGCTACGTAATTTGAAATATTCCTGAAATTTAAGAGAGAAAAACCAACAAAATTACTATAGAATTTGTGACGAACAAAATGATGAAACATAGAAAATAAGTTTTGGGAACTTTTGAAGGATTTGAGATAGATAAGAGTACATACAAGTGTGGGTACATATAATGTAAGCAAGGACAGTGAATGATGTTGATACAATTTATCACAGATTTTCATTCCTAAATTGAAATAAGTAATCCAGACTTTTTAATTTTTTTTTATTTTCTCACATAGATGTTGCTGCTGGGTTGGATATGCAGACTGCAGAGCCTTTGTTCTGAAAGAGAGGTGCGCAACAAGGAATGAGAAGCTCTCTTTGAACACCATCATTCCTAGTAGATAATGCATATACAAATATGGAAAAATTTGATTTACAACCTTGCTTTTCTTGCAACCGGCACATTGAAAATTCGATATTAATGCTGTCCACTGGACGTTGTACAGAGCATCATATCAAATAACAATGAAAGTTAGCTGATGCCGAATTTCATTGTTTTCTGGGAAGAGTCCTTTAGGGTTGATCTGGCGTTTCTTCTTTAAGTAGTACAAGGTTTCAAAAGTTGTCGCACTTCAAACTACTTAAAGCAGACCTTACGCCAAGGTCTCAAACCGACTGACTTCTAGAATGGAACTGTAAATACAATTATTGATGAGACTGTGATAAAAACTTACATTGGGGCTAATTTCTTCTTCAGCTGCAGCAGATGGTTTTGGGTTAGCAACTTTTTTGGCTGCTTCATTTTTTTCCTTTTCAAGTTTTTCCTTCGCTTTTTGTTCAGCCTTTAACCTCCGCTTTAACTCACTGAAACAAAAGAGCAATCTCTGTCAGTGTAAGAGTATAATTTTAAAAATGAGTATATAAATTATTAAGAATTGAGAATTAAGATTTGTATACAATGTACAAAAAAAATATAATTATAATAGTGAATTACAAACAATTTTATATGATAGGCAATAATCAGTTATTTTTCAATAAAAAATGTGACAGAAAATCTTCCTTGTTGTACTTAAAATGAGATTGTTCAGTAATGGATGCTTTAATGTACCATTATAGATACCTAAATCGTTCCGTAGTTTCACCATTCACAAATTAAGCATCGTTAAACTTTGAAGCGTTGATGAGATGTACAAAAATTTTTTGATTAGCACCACTTGAGGGACTTGTGTATTCATTAGCATTGATTTTACTTAACAATTAATAATGATTTAAAAAAAGCATGAAATTAACATGATAGTGAAGGAGACACCAACAAAAGTACCTTGTCGATGAAACTATCTAACAGACCCCCCCAAAAAGGAAAGCATATCGCACCTTAATTGACACTCTGATGTACTAAAGCATTTTTTCAGCTGTTGCCTTATGGTATTACGGATAGTGAGACCCAACATACTTAATAGAATTACGTTAAGTAACAGTGACCCTGTGAACAAAAATATCATTGAATGATACTGGACTATAAAATTATGTCTTCCAATTAACAATATTAGCTTATCATCATAACAGTTTCAGGGAGCATTTATCTATCTTAATTACTCCTACTTATTGTTTCTTCACACTAGAGCCTAGACAAGGAAAAAAACGTAGGACATGATTTCTTTTTTAGATAAAGTAAATATCAACTTTTCAGAAATCTCCCTCAATTCCCTCAGAGTGTTTGTTAAGGTCTTAGCTGAGCACATGCCACACTTTTGTACATCATTAATAACCTGGATTCCAAGAAAAAAAGGAAGAGGCTTTAAAGTCCACAAATGCCGATCATATGAGGGATGATCTGATGATCATGATGATCCGGCATTGCGGTTGCTTGCTCCTTGCTACCTCTATCATGGGCAAGCTATATCAAAGACAAACATGTCAACAGTTGCTTACTACAGCGAAATTTAAACACCCGGAGGTAACTGAGCATACGGTAAAGGTGTCGTCAGATACCTAAATTGGCATTTGTTTACTTTCTGTTTGCAGGCATTTCCGCGTCATTACTATCCACATGAAAACATCTGACTCTCGCCGAAGCAAGAATACAAGCTAGGATATCTTTAGACTTTGTAACTCTTCAATTTTTGGCCATACAAAAATCACAACCACATAAAAGTAGTAGATCATGGTTAATAAGTTAGTTTTTGGACGATAAGATGAAGAGACGGATGTTATCAAGATCGGTAGTAGAAAACAATGGTCTGGTCGTCGTCTGCGCTTGAAAACCAAAAGTAAACAAATGCCAACTTACCTGAAGACACCTCTAGGTGCCAGTAATTCATAATATTGTTGACATTTTGAGATGATTGTGGAAAAGCGATTCTCAATAGCACAACTGCATGCAGTTCTCACGGAAAATTGCCAGTTAAAAGCACTTACTGCCAACTGAAAGATACGGTTAGAAAACTGCAGACAAATGCTGAGAGGGCAAACATCTGAGTCGGTTATAAAATGGATTCTTTACATACTAACATCAGTTCATTAAATATCCACTTCACTCATTAACATCTTCCACTTTGCTTCATGGAAATGAATACCGCTTACAGTAAGACCACATTGGTTACAGTCAACATCAGACTGGTTGGAAGTACAGCATGAAGGTCAACAATTGTTTGTAGATGACACATTCTGATCAGTCACCTCCTTGCAAAAAGGGCACGTAGTAAAATGATGTAACTTCAAGTCTATACTTATGCTACTCTACCAAGAAAAACTGTTGTAGCTATTGTTGTAGCTATTTGTGTTACATGCAAAGGCAACCTTTCATATGCACATACTCTGCTTTCGCTTAAAGAATGTGAATTTCATGGGCTCGTGACATACTCGATGAGACGATTGCACTCGACGCCAGAGAGTGAGCAGTCAAGCTCAGTGCTTACACTTCAGTTTGGGTAAAGCTTTGTTGATGTGAAACCACAAGAACAAAAGAAACAGTTAAAGAATGCGCAGTGGAAATTGAATGATTTAATATTGAATGTACGGCAAAAAAGATAATATAATGCAGAGGCAATGGTGCGTACGGAAAGTTTGAGGTTAGGGACCCTCGTGACGCGGCTGATAACAGGTAGCGAATTCAGTTTTTATTATTTTGCAAATTCAAAGGATGGAAAACAAACCAAAGTCAAATAAAAATCTTCCACTTACTTCTTAGAAATTTTGTCGCCTCCTGTTTCTGCCATTCCGAGGGTAGCACGAGGACGGTGCTTCGCACTGTGTACGCAAAAAATTGAATAGACTAATTGCAGCAACGTTGCCAACCTTACAAAAACAAGAAAGTCACAGAACATAGCAGATGCAAGAGAGAGAACCACGGAGCGCCAACTCACCGTGTGACGCGAGGCATGATCTCTGACTCAGCTTTTAAAATTTTTAAACCAACTCCCGATAAATATTTGATGGCTTAGCTTTTTGTGGTAAAATTTCCTCAGCATTTATAGCGGTTCCATTCTCTGGGTACGGCGGGCCAGTTGGCCTGCTGGTTTTTATCGAACATTGAACGCGTATTATTTGTACCGATTTTGAATTTTGATTTCACAACTCGCGCTACATCTTTTTACTCAGAGAATCGATGCGGTTACACTGTTTTCGATAATAGTAGTAACGGAGGAGAAAATTAAGACTGAGAAGGATGGGGGATCATTGACTTCCTCGAAATCGGCACTCATACGCGGAGAGGTCGGCCTTTGCTTCCCGCGCGCGCCAAGTCAAAAAAGCGCGCGAAAAGACTTCCGTAAGAAAGAGGTTGAGCCAGGAGCATTTTCAGAGGGACCGGCCCTGCCGGGCCCTATGCCTTACCTACTTACCGACCTACCTGGCATACTTACCTTCTTACTCGGTGCAATTTTTCCATACGCCCTCTGTAATATGCGTTTTGAGTGGAGGGTGCGTGGGGATACCCCTACCAGGGGGGGGGGGAGGGATCTCCCTCGGAAACTTTTTGAGAATGCAGCATGCCCGAGACACATTTTGCTGCTATTTTTTTACCGCCAGAGACGTCTGAAATATCATATTGGCCTCTTTTAGTCTGTTTTTTCTGCCTAAACGATAAGTACTGACCTGTTTGCATGCTCTTCTTTCTCATTTTCAAAATCTTTGATCGTTGATTCTCTTTGCGCTCGCCTTTTACGGTTCTCAGAACTTAATACTTTTTTATGCGTTGCCCTGTGACACTTGAAATGTTGAAATCGATACAGTAACAAAACTAACGAAACATTTTAATTTTAGGACGATCGCAAATGCTGTGCGCGGAGATAGGTAGGTACTCTTAACTCTTTCGAAGATCGATGTCTCCATGTCAGAGCTTTATTTTACGGAGTTTGGAGATTTGAAGGACCCCAACGGATCCACCGAGGGTGGGGGCTTACGAGACGTAAACTCTAAAAATAGAGTAGTGTGTAAAAATAGTGAAATAGATTCAATATGATAGAAAAGATGAAACTTGGCAATTCTTGATCTGACAGGTGGAGTTATTAGTGCAGCATTAAAAGTTTATTTTTAACTTTGTGGACTTTCTTAGTTCAATTATGTTAAATTAAGGATTAAAAGGACTGAAAAATGTGTGCTACATGCACCTCCAAATTACTGGTTTTCCTCAAAATTAAAGGTTTTTTTTTTTTTTTTTTTTTTTTTTTTTTTTAAATAAATAGGTACTATTTATCAGGAAAGTTTCCTCAAGTAGACTCCAGCAAACAGTTTGATAACATGCTTGAAACGACTCCAGGCTCTATCAGGTGAGATAAACATTGCATCATGCTAATTTGACGTTTTTCGGACGATAGAACGTAACAGCGTTCCATTTTGAAAAATTTTCCACTGGTTAATTGCAATTCACTCGGAAACATACAGGATTGAAAAATCTCTACAATTCTGTGATCCAAGGATTGCACTGTTCGGAAACGGTGTAACCCGGAGTAGGTTTAACACCGAGAAAATACGACTGTTCAACGACTTGAGCACGCACCGTGGTATACGCGCAATGCATGAAGTATCCCGCAGTCTTGTAAGGCGCTCCTATACGCCTGGCGCGCCTCATGCTATACGCGTAATGCAGGAAGTATCCTGCGGCCTTGTAAGGCGCTGCTATGTTTCTCGCCAGTCTCGCGCCGCGCCGGCCGCTCTGTGTTTGATACGATTCAAACTTTGCGACGTTAGCGATTTTCAGCTTATGATTTTGAAGTTTTTGTACAGTTTGCTGGAATTATTGTTATTTCAAATGATAAAACATTACATAAAACTCGACTAATTTTTTTCTCTTCATTTACATATTTTTATAAATAATTCTAAATAGAAGCATGCAATAAGTTAAACGACTTTTACGTGTACACATTCTCGTTCCGCAGCGATGTAGTGGCGTGATCATTTGGACTACATTTTGCTATTCGGAACTACAATTTCAGACTCATCCGTAAAAACAGTTATGTGCAATAGGAAATTAACGGTACATACGTTGTTCCTAGACGAGCCAGAATTTGTGATTCTCCGTTGAAAAATGAAGTTCATTTGATCAATGAACCCTTTCGAAGCGTAGGGTATGGATTCGACGAGGCAGAGGGTATGAAATTATTATGGATTCGATCGACATGAATCGATCGAAAAGTAAAATCGTGAATCGATTGACGTGATTCGATCCACATCGATTCAATCGACAACCTTGACTTGATCGACAAATCAGTGAGTTGATCGACAACATCCGTGAATCGATCGACAATATCCGTGAATCGATCGAATTGACACCGGGTTTTTCATAATGTGTCGGTTGAATTGGTGTCGATTGGTTCACGGCCATCGATTCATATCGATCAAATCCATACCCTCCTTTCGAAGCCTTCAGTTTTAAAGTACCTGAATAGCCTGTTCACAGAATTATTATAAGACAGGCTCTTATTCATCGATAAACTGCTTCTCAAATGGGTAGGTGCGGGGTATTTTGATGACGAACGCAGTTGCAAAACTTCTCCCGGGTGTTCCGTTTTAAGGCAACCCTTTCAAAACATTGCTCCTCAGGGTTTTTCCCATTCTATTTTGTCCCTAAAAAGTAATTCAGAAGTTTCAGCATCATTGTTGAAGTTTATATACTTCCCCCAAAGAGATTAAAATTTCGGAAAAAATTACATTTTGTTTAAATGGGGGAAAAAATAGACCGATCCGCGGAACTGCGTTTATTGGCTATAAAATGCGCCCAAATGATTTTAAACCTGACCATCCCTTAGGAAGACATCCAGAGCACTGATTGTTGAAATTGATAGACAAATCCATTTGCAAAGGAGATATCAGGGATATGAGGGGATCCTTTTGGTGGCTACAATGGACGCGCGTCGCCGGAGATAGTGCACTAATGTTTCATTTCCGTTTTTATTTTCGTTCTACGTTTTTCGTAATTCACCTAATATAGGCTGATACAGCCGAATTGGCCGTAGTGTTTTAAGTTTGCCGTAGGCCGTAGTTAACCACAAATGGAGAGGTGTCATGTGTGAGGAATTTGCGATTTGACTGTTGATTCTTATGTAAAAGTTCGCGAGAAACACGATGGTGCCACTGGTTTTCTCTGACAACAACTCCCAAGCTCAAAAAAAGCTCTCAAGTTGAGGCCAAAATGGAGGGGATATCCCACCCTACCCAACATTGGTTCCATTTTCAGCCACTCGTCATTTTTCTCGAATTTTGAGATTGCAATTCTGCTGCCAGGAGACTAAAGGATTCACTTCCCAATTTTGACAAACAAACTCAGCGTATTAAAGGCGTGTTTTTTTTAGAGCAAGAATATCGCATTCAAGTGCAGTTCCGATATCAGTATCGAATGCGATATTTTATTCCTTTAAAAGAAACCTCGCCCTTAATACGTTGAGTTTGTTTGTCAAAATTGATAAGTTAGTGAATTCTTTAGTCTCCTGGTAACAGAATTGCGATCTTAAAATTCGAAAAAAATGACAAGTAGCTGACAAAATGGAACCAATCGATGCGATATATCGCGTATCGTTCTGACACAAAATATGGCGTCCATCGAATCACCTTAACGGTAGAGCTGTTATGGTTCAGCCATTGTAACACGCATAACTAGACGGGAAAAGGCGTATTATATTCGAAAATCATAATTTCGTATACTCAGAATAAATTAAATCTGGTAGATGTTACTGGGCAAATAGAGATTTGGTTTTTTGTCCGCGCACCTACCTGTTTTTTCCAGTAATTTACGTCCACGCGTTTTTTCGGCACGGGAGTTTTGGTCCACGTGCCAGTTGAGACCCAAAGTTAATTAACCCACATGTAAATACAAACGACAAGTGCTCTCACGACGTTTTTAGATGAAAATGTATAATGTCTTGGAAGAATGAAGGTTTGCTTGTTTTTTTGTATTGTCTGTTTGGTCCAACGGAGAATAATATATAGTTGAGAGTTTTGGTAAAAATGGGGGAGCGCCAATTCCATGAGACAAAATTAACTAAAACTCTCTACACCTCTTTGGTGTAACAGGACTTAATTATCTTTCAAGAAATTCCCACCTTGTTATACCTGAACCGGATAAACCTCTATATTTGCCTCAGCTAAAGGCTCTTAAATTTTTCCTGTGTACGATAAGTACGATTTTGCGAGGAAAGATTTGTACTTTTAAAGGATGCCTATCATTCTTAATACGTTCAATTTCGTATAATACTGTGCAACACCTCTGTTGTGAAATAGTTGCTTCAGGCGCCGCTGCACAGCGGGCGGGCGGTCAGCGCGAAACGCGCATTGGCGCCTACAAACCTAAGTGGATACTTCAAGGATTGTGCACTACGTGAAGTATCCACTTAGGTTTGTAGGCGCCAGTGAACCTCTCGCGCTGGTAGCACGCCGCTCCGCTCTGTCAGGCTTTAATATTTATACTCGCATAGTCAGCGTTTTTTAACCCATGATTTTGAAATGTTTGCACACTTTGCATTGATTATTCTCATTTAAATTGATGGGAAAAAATGTGTATCAATTTATCAAAGGAGAATAATAATATAATGTGTGTTTTTTTAATATTGGTGGTTCCGTGTCAAATTTATTGATTTCCAAAGCACTTTAATTTTTTCTTTTACATTTTGTGCTTTTATTGTGCTGCAGCGAGGTGTGCGCGCAACCAAACGCTCAAAATTTGACATATTTGACTCTAAAAGATCGATGTACAAATGGGTTAAAACTAAAGATTGCGTGCCATTAAGTTTTTTTCCTCTTTTATTCATTTTTGCAGTTTCTGTCGGCACAACTGCGGCTCATTGAGATTAATGTCGCTTGGAAAAGGTTTTACAAATATTTGTCAGGTTT